ATTTTTGAGGTATATATTACAAGCGGCAATAATACATATGGAATTTCATTTTGATTTTGAGGTGGGCCATTTAGATATATGAAGCCCAGCATCTTTTATATATATATATATATATATATATATATATATATATATATATATATATATATATATATAACCAAATATATGTGGGTGGGCCAAGGCCCACCCTTGTCTCTATGTGGCTACGCTGTTGGTCATTATACTCAAACGCATGGCGTGATCAGTACATGAGAGGTGACCACAAAGAGCAGACGATTGTTCTAGAGGCTATCGTATCACATACTCTTTAGATATGGCATGCGTTCTTTGGTCCAGCTGGTGCAAACAATGACATCAATGTGCTAGACCAGTCGTCGGTATTCAACGGTATCTACATTGGGAAGTCACACGATGTACCTTTTCAAGCAAATGGGGTAGCATATAAGTGTGGATACTATCTTACTGATGGTATATATATCCTCCCATGTCTGTTTTTGTGAAATCGTTTTCATGTCTTAACGACCCGAAAAGGAAAAAGATTAAAAGAGTCGCAAAAGTCAACTAGAAAGAATGTGGAGCGAACAATAGGTGTACTTAAGAGACGTTGGCAAGTACTAGCAGTCGAGGCAAGGTCATATAAAGTGAAAAGGTTTCAACACGTAATGTATGCATGTAGCATATTGCATAATATAATTCTTGAAGACAAAGGAAGAGCGATATGTTGGTACAATGAAAATGAAGTTTTGCCAAATGTCGAAGGAGTAGCCGTTGGTACACAAGAGTATAGGATGAATAGAAGAGAAGTTCACAATCGTGACATTCATCACGCACTTCGTGCTGATTTGGTGGAACACGTTTATAGACTTATATTCAGCCGCCGATAGAGTTTTCTCATGATGACTTGTTTGACAAATTAGACGAGGATTCTGATATGTTTGTCGAGAGCGAATATTCCAGCGATGACGAGGATGATGATTCCGAGTGACGTATTTTGGTTTTTTTTTTTTAAATTAGGATATTAATTATGTTTTCTACGATGTGGGTTGTTTGCGTTTTTTTTAGATTTTCTACTTATTTAAATATAAGGTTTAATGTAATTTTTATTTTAATTAATGAAATTCTTTTTATTTTTAATTAAATTTTATGTTTAGTATTAATTTAAAAATTGTAAATCATAAAAAAAAAATAAGTTTATTTTAAAAAAAAATAGTGAGGGAAGCTTCTCACCCATTTATTGGGTTTAGGCAATGTTGTAATACTCGCCGAGTTAGTCGATTACTCCTCCGAGTACTCGCTACTCGGCCTCTTACCGAGGTGAGTTACAGAATCCCGAGTACTCCTTGATCGGCCCTTTACTGAACTAAGCAGTGTTGTAAAACTCATCCAACTCGGTGATTAATATGTATAATATATTTAATGATTTATTATTTAACAAACAAAAATGTGATTATTACTACATATATATCTTAAATTTTCAGTAATTATTCACAAAATAAGACTATTATGTGTTTTTTTTTAGTTTTTGTATATTCAGATGTATCTAATTTGGTTATATATTTCAATCAGTTTATGATTTTAACTTATGATTTTGACATATATAATTTCCCTAAAAATATTTCTTCATGAATTACCAAATCCGAGTACTACTGACTACTCCCGAGTACTCGTTACTCGGTAGTCGGTCGAACAGGTACCGAGTAACGAGTTCTACAACCTTAGATTTAGATGAGGGAAATGAAAGTGAAGAAGAAGGTGGTGTGACCCACAAAAAGTGAGGGAAAGTTTTCACCCATACCCTCCAGTCTAATTCAAGTAGGGAAAATCAATCGCAACATAAATGGAAGAATTTTAACCCAAAATCTCATCGCCTCAAATGAATTTATGCTGCGATTTTCCTTTTGTTAATTGTTCTAGGTACGCAAGGAGAAGCTCTGATCAAATATTAATAGAATTTTCATCATCAAGAAATTGCTTAAACAATGAGCAATTGATTTTGACACTTGTATTCTAAGGGAGTTCATTTTAGTTACTCCATCTTTTATTTTATTTTATATATAACTAAGACATTGTATCATTAGATGTGGGCCAGGGGATCAATTGTAAGATAATACATAACTGAAATATCGATTGAAAATAAGGAATAATAATGCATAATAAAGATATATGGAAAAAAAAAAAAAAGATAGTGCTTAAAAGAAAGAATGTAATGAAAATAGTGCTTAAGGTGTGTTTAGCTGTAATGTCCCAGTCCCAAATTATAGAGTAAAATTTTCAATTTTTAAAACTAAAACAAACATTCCATTCATTCACAAGTGTAATCATTCCTAAAGTTTAATAACAAAATTAGAGTAATAAAGTCATAGGCCGAACATCTCAAAACATAAGTGTCGATGTGGTGTGATCATGTCGGGTACTTCTCATTGCTATCTTAAGTACCTAAAACATTTAAACTTAAAATCGTACGCACAAAGCTTAGAGAGTCCCCTAAAACATTTAAACATAAATCATAAGTATAAACTTTAGTGAGTTCCGCAAAATACCAAATACTCAAGATAACAACCTAGCCTAGCTCAACAATTATGTTTCAGTTAAGTCGGCCCAGCCCAATAAGTGTATAAACAAGTCTCGCTCAACGAGCCCAACCCAACAAGCATATAACAAACATGCAAGAGTCACAAAGACAACTAGCATAACACGACACCTAGTGTCTTACAGTATATTGAGAAGACTCACATGAATTAAAAGTTGGATATCAATACTCTATGTCACGCAAAAAAAAGGTACAAGAATCACCTATAAGAATTAGATGTCACACCTCAGTCTACCACTTAAAACCTTTAAGTTTGACCAAAAGTCAACGGTCAACCATACCAACCACTACGTCACGACATTCCCTTGGCCACGTCGTGCGGAATAAAGACAAAACAGACACGTAACATTTCATCCATCGTGTCGTAGTCAGCCCCTGACTACGTCGCGGTTCGACTGGCAGATCAGCTCCTTTATTAAGCTTGTAATCTGTTAATTCCAAGCCTTAAACTTTCCCAAAGACTTTAATACATTTATAAAGGTCCATAAAAATCAAAACTTTAAGACATGCATAACCCATGTGTAACATCTGAATCCTTGAGGTACTTAATATATTAAATTCTTGCATTTTTGGAGGAGGCTTCACAATGTGAGCCATTGTGGTCACGACGTGAGTGGCTATTGACCATTTGACCCGCATTCTTGAACCTTACGATGTAAGCAAGAGGCCTCGCGATGTGAGCGAGATCTGATGACCCAACACCATAATTTTCAAGTATTTAATGGAATAAGAGAGCTAGGGTTACCCATCTTCATCCTCTCTCACTCTCTATCCTCCTGAAAACCCTAGATTCGACCTCCTTGAGACCTTTGGCCATTATTAGTAACCTTGAAGATCTTATTTGGTGGTTTTTGGGCCATTGAAGTGGAAGAGGACTCTTGTGGTGCTTTATTTTGGCAATTTAGCTTCTACCACTTGGTCTTGCTAAGCTTTTGGACCTTTGTATGTCATAAAGCTCTTACCTTTTTTCCTTTTGGATTCTAGATCCATGTTTTTAGAGCTTTCTTTGCATGGTTGGGTTGTGTAGCATGCATTAGATCCATAAAGTTGGCAACTTTATGGATCATTGAGACATCTTCTATATATGAGGCTTTGGATTTGAGTTTTGGTATTGGTTTTAGACTCCAACTATGAGTCTTGATCTTATTACCTTTCTTTTAACCTAGTTAGTATCTAAGTAATGAATTAGACATGCATGATTGAAAAGCTATGATTTTTATGGTCCTTAGGGTCGATGAAGGTCCTCTGGAAGGTACCAAAGAATGTCTTAAAGGATTAGGAGCTTAATGCTCAAAGTTGGTAAGAACAGATCTCACAATGTGAGAAATGAGGTTGTCCGAATATGTGGAATCTGGTTGGATGAGTTGTGATTGAGTCGACTCACTGAGTATGGTCGGGTCGAGTCCATTCTCACGATGTGACCAGAGAACAAGTCACGATGTGAGGGTAAGCTGATAGGAATATTAAAAGTTGACCTTAGGCGTTTACTTTTGATTAGAGTTGACTTTTGGTCAACTCTTGGCATTGAAGGGGAGACTAAAGGTTTCCCTTGTATGATTATCTAAGTATGGTGTAGCACCGGTGTAGCTGACCGTGAGAGAAGCAATATTTGATTATCGATCAAGAGGTGAGTTTCCTTTGCTATATCTGTGGGTCGAAGGAATTAATGGCAACCTACTAGATTATGTTTTTAGGATGATGATTCTCAATTATCCGTTATGCATGTTTATGCTTGATGTCTTTGCTTGAGACCGAATGGGTTGAAATATACCCAATATTGGTTGAAAGACACCGAAGGGTTGAAATATACCAAGTACCGTTTGAAAGAGACCGAATGGGTTGAAATAGGACCAGTACCGGTTGAAAGAGACCGAAGGGATTAGAATATACCCAATTATTCTTTAACTGGTATATATGTGTATGGTATGGGGTATTCTGAGGGAGCTCACTAAGCTTTGTGCTTACAATTTTCAATTTATGTTTTAGGTACTTCTAGCTCAAAACGGAAGGGTCTGGCTTGATCGCACCGCATCTGCCCATGTTTTTGCATTATGTGATTTTGGGATTTGTACTTTGATATCATTCATTGTGATACACTTTCGGTATTTTGACATGGTTATTGGATATTTGAAATGAATTAAAAGTAAAAAATTTGCTTGAAATTTTGGGATGTTATAAGTTGGTATCAGAGTCTTGGTTTGATGGATTCGGGCATACTCTCGGGTGTACCTGAACTCAAATCGAGGGTTTGGTAGATTTTTCATTAAAAAGAAATATTTTAATTAAGGGATTTCAATAAAAGAAATGGATGCAATACGTGCAATTAGTCGAGCTCAAGTTAGTCTTTCCAAAATACTCATACATGTTATATGTTTTACGCTATGATATGATAATGAAATGCTAGATTAGGGCTAAGGATCTACTCATGATTGCATAATTGATAATCAAGTTTTCCAGAAAATAATTCTCATTGGCTTAAGTTTTCTAGTAAAAGATGGATCCATTACCAATTTTTGACTGCCTAATTTCTGCCCAGAAACCAATTTCACACCTTTTTGCATGATAATGGCAATAATTAACACCTACATAAACCTTGTTTAGAAGTATAGATGCCAGTGACATTCTCGAACCTGTAAAATAAACAATAACAACAGAAGTTGGGTTAAAACATATAGAGTATAGAAAGTCCAAAAATACTAATAACACCAATGACCCATGATTAAAGAAATTACATATAGACACCCTTTGACAACCGGGCGTTTGCAAAAGGCCTGTGGAAATTATTCTTAACCATAGATATGATAAATCAATGGTCTATTCCAATGGAATAGACCATTCCAATCCAACTTCGACTCTGTCACACCAAACACTACCCTGTAGTATCCTGTGTGTGTTGCTCTTAACATCCGAAAAAATTCACAAAGTCTTACCTGACTAAAATCTAGACGGATGTGAGAAGCTAAGGAAGATGTAGCCACCTGAAAAAGATAGCAGAAAGTCTTACTTCTAAATTATGGGACAAAACCGAAGTTGTAAGGATATACAAATAGAAACGCCAAAGGGCAAAATGATCACTCCTAACTTAATATTACCTCAGCTTTCAACTCTTCCCCTAATCCATTCCAAATCAGCTATAATATCGATTGAAAACAGCAAAAATAACTTTCTCAATATAAATAATGTTGGTCAAAGTTGATTTTTTAAGGGAAAGTGCAGGTCCAATTCTACCATGTCCAAGAAGATTACACGCATCAAGATAGGTCATTGTTTGAAGTTTCCCACTAAAATAATTTATTGTAGCTAGTTAATTCTAAAATTGAAACCAAACAGGTAATTGAATTTCCATGTAACCCAAATACAACAACTTTTTTCATATTCACTGTTGTGATTTCGGCAAAAGTAAGAGCCTTTCAGGCTACATATTCATCTATAAAAAAAAAAAATATTATAATGATAAAAGATGCCAATCAAATGAAAATCTTTCAAGAAAAAAGGTAATAAAAAAACCATGTTATTTACCTTGTTTAAATACACTGCCTTTTTATTGAAGTAAGTGTTTGGCAAAATCTCTATCTCCCATAGAAACAACATCAGAAGCCAAAAAAATATCAATGTCATTATCAATTGAAAGTTCTTTATCCAAAATGCCGAAATTTCATCTCCACAATCATGAACGAACGTCGACAATTTTACACTTCTATTCGGAAATAGAGAGAGAGAGAGAGAGAGAGAGAGAGAGAGAGAGAGAGAGAGAGTAGAAGATGGGTGCTTTTGACAGTTCTAACCTGGCCAATAGTCGTCGACAATCGGAACACAATAAACGGTCTGATGATAGTGGTGACTGGTCCGACAAGTTATCAGGGTTTAGATGTGCGGATTTCATCAACCCATGGTGGAAGTGTCCTTTTCATGATGATCGATTTCACATATTGTAAACGAAATTCCAAATGTGTATAATGAAGGAGGTGGCGTTCGATTGGAAGCAAAGTCGTCCTCAATTGGTGGCGACACAGCCGATGAGGCGTGATTCCAGACGGACAATTTTGGGCATACATCTGATGAAAAGAACGGATAGAAAAAGGAATAAAAGACGGTTTAGGGCAACTCGCTTTAGGATATGAAATCGAAGCGGTGGAAGAAATCGGAAGGTAAAAGACGAAGATAGATTGGTGGAGGGTTATATGGATTGAAAAAAAGCCTTTACTTTTGTTTCATTTTATCGATCAAATTTTATACGGTTATCAAAATTAATAATAATAATAATAGTAATAATAATAAAAAAATAAAAAACAACAAAAAAAAAATGATGTGAAATCGTAAGTATTTGTTAGAAGGGTAAAATTGGATTATGGATACTTATATAACACAACCCTAAAAATAATGTTAAAAGTTTGATTTATTGATTTTAAGATGGTTAAAAATAGTTATGAGGGTTACTCACAACCCAAAATAAATCTATGGCGTTGATAGTTATCTATGTGCTAATAGATATTCCACCATCCACCATCTATACGATAACATGAGAACTTCGATAAAAAAATATGATAACACAACGCATTGAATTGATCAAAGAAATGAGATAATTAAACTCATATTCATCCATGATTACAATTATCAAAACACAACCCACTCAGCGATCAAAAACAAGACTACTAACATCAACCACATAACAAACACTCAACACACACGATAATACACCATTAATCAAACTCCAAATTCTTAATTCCTCCAGTTACCTTCCGGAGCACCGCCTCCCCTCGAGTATCCACCGCCACCACCGCTGCCACCGCCGTATCCACGGTCACGACCACCTCCATATCCACCGCCACCACCTCCATATCCACCGCCACCACCACCGTATCCACCGCCACCACCTTCACGTCTTCCGTATCCACCGCCTCCTCCACCGTACCCACCGCCACCTTCACGTCTTCCACCGCCGCCACCGCCGCTTCCACGAGACTGCGCCTCGTTGACTGTGATGTTACGACCGTCGAGGCTCTGTCCGTTCATCCCCTCAATCGCGTCTCTCATCGCTTGCTCATCCTTGAAAGTTACGAATCCGAATCCTCTAGATCTGCCAGTCTCCCGATCGTTGATAATCTATTCATACCAAAAACAGAATTAAAAACCAAATTAGATCCAGTTGGAATATTAATTATCTAACATAACATCAAAAAACCCAAAATCGATCGATCTTCGTCCCTTAGAAAACGAGAAACGTACCGTTTCAGGTAATAAAAGTAACAGAATACAGAAGAGAGTAGTTAACAAAACGAGATCAGAGAATCAATCAAAGTAACACAAAGAACACAGATGCGTGGCCGAATCGAGCCGGATTCAGATCTCGGATCTCAACCCACGACACACGAAACGGACCTTCGATTCCAAAATCTCTCCATATTGAGAGAAAGCTTCTTCTAAGGATTGGTCGGTAGTCGCCCATGCCAGACCACCGACGAAACACCGGAACTCCACATCCGCAGACGCCATTAATGACTGATTTTGAATACGAGGTGGGGAAAGGATAAAACCCTAGGAGAAGACGCCTGGATTATATAGCTGAAGAAGCTCCTCATACTCCACTCTTGACTATGGTTAGTTGACGTCATTAGATAAGGTATGTGGCTAACCCTGGTTAGGTTTCGGATCAGATATTTATATTTTGATACTCGTCAACAAAAAGTAGCTTTCTTCAACTTTATTGTGATTTCAAAATCGGTAATTCAGTATTCTATCTATAAAAGAAAAGAAAAGAAAAATTATGATATTTTATTTGAATGAACCTCAAACTATGTGGGGACGGGCTTATCTTCTTTACCTCTCACCTCTATTATTGTTCTCGTAGGTGACTCACACTTTACTTATTTTGTTCCTTTATTTTCTTTTCTTTTTTTAGAAAATTACATTAATATATATATATATATATATATATATATATATATATATATATATATATATATATATATATATATATATATAGACGCTTATGTTATTTTGTTTTTACTAACTATTGTGTGCCAGAATGCACAGATCTGGAAAACCGGATGGAATAGAATCAAAGATTATGATCTGATGGTCTATGATATTACAGTAGGATAACATTTACCATATAATCACACAAATTTCAGCATAATGATATTTTAGTCAATTAACCTATATTAAAAAAGGAAAATTTCATATATTTAAGGATAATTAATTCCTTTATTTTTTAAAATCTAAATATTTCAAAATTAATTCAAATTTAAAAATCCAATTTTATTCTGTGAGAATGACAGAATGTCAACCATAAACTAGTACATATATTTTCGATTTTATTCTTGCATAATATATTTCCAATGCAGATATTTGATTTGAGAATTCTAGATATTATTCATATACATCCAAGTTAGGTCTATGATTTTATTCTTAATGCACATCCGAAATAAAAAACAAATTCATTCATATTCTTAAAGACTAATATCCTTATACATTTTAATATAGTTATACATATTCTAAAAGAATATCATCAAGAATGAATAAAATTATTAAAAAATAGCATTCTTGAATATACAATTATTGAACAAATACACTTGATCTTCTTCAGTGGTCCGTATAATCCACTTGATCTTCGCATATATACTTGTTGTTGAACTCGATTCCAAATATTTTTCTTGTATAATCAATATTGAATTCCTTCTCTATGCAATTATGAAAGAATAAGATACATTACTTGTTAGTATTACTCGTTAAACAAATATATTAGTTAATAAACATTCTTAAAGACATTCTAACAGAATACATTTATATAAATAAATTATGATAGAAAACATTACAAAATGCACTTAAATAACATTCTTTTAAAAATTCTTTTGTGAATAATAGGCATCAAATTGATGATTGTTACTAACATCATTCTAAAAGACATTTTACAAGAACGATTCATTTAGGCTGTAACTAAAAAAAAACATATTATAAATTTCTTAAGTACACAATATAACCATTCTAATAGAATGTCGCAGACATTGAAATTCTATGAAAATACATATAAACAATTAAAAAAAATTCTATCAGAATGCATATAAACAATTAACCATTCTAATAGAATGTGGCAGACATTGAAATTCATTTACACAAGTATCTAAATTCCAATTGAAATTCTTACTAACAATTAACAAATGGTTTATTTTTACACCAAATAACATGACCAGAAACAGTAAAAACATACCGAAGACCAAACTTAATTCAATGCTTCATACTTTCAAACCAATTAAACATAAAACTTGTTGAAAAATAACTCAAATGAAGCTGAAATCCAATTAATTTCAATCAAAGATAAAAGAGAAATCAACCTAAGGGAGAATCGAACCTGATAGATTGAAGACGACTTTGACAAACGACTTGTGAGAGAATCGAACCAATTCTGGGAAGAATGTGTTGAACTCATCTTGAAATCAAAGCAATCGATCTAGTTCTCGCCTTCTTTAAAGCTGATAAATCAACTAAATTAAACTTAACAGCATACAAAATAAATATTAACCTTGAAATTTCAGTTTTTGATAACAACTTTAGTCAAAATTACAACAATAAACATTAAATGCCTATCTAAATAAGAAAACAATTGCAGCAAAGTATCGGAAGATTACCAAAGTGAAAACTTAAAAATATACACAGATGTTAACACCAAACACGCAAGTTAAAACAGAACGGTGCTTACTTAAATTGAAATTGATCGAGGCTTGAGCGATTAAGCCCTACATTAATGATATAGACTTGAAATCAATGGAGGCTCGAGACCAAAATGACATAATTTTGACAGGGGTGGTGGGGCATTTAATGATAACGGTGAAGGCCAGCAGCCTCCTGCTATCAGACGAAGTCAAGGGAGGTGGAGGACTTCTCAAAGAGGCATCACAATAGTAATGGAGGGTGTTGGCGGTGAATTTCCATTGAAATAAAGGGGTGGCAGTGTAGTGCTTAGTGGTGGATGAATGCGATGCAATGGATCTGGAGGGAGGCGACGACATGAGATGGTGGTAGGGCAATGGTTGACAGAATTTCAATTAAATGATTAGGTCAAATATATTTATTTTATTTCCGTATTTGTAGGATTTCAATTAAATGATTTCCTTAATCAAAAGTACAAAAGGTCCAAAATACCCTTAAATGATTTATTTAATTATTTATTATTTCTTGAATTCTAATTGGTGCATTTAAGCACACAATAGTTGCTAGAAACATTTGAACCTATCTCTCTCTCTCTCTCTCTCTCTCTCTCTCTCTCTCTATATATATATATATATATATATATATATATATATATATATATATATATATATATATATATATTATCTCCTTTCTATCTTTTATAAACAAAATTGTTCACAGTAGCTTTTTTTTTTACTTTTTTTAGATAATGACTTAAAAATATAATATATTTTTTTATTTTTGTAAATATTTAATAACTGAAAAAAAAATTCTTCGTATTTTTCCCTTCAACATGTTTAATTGTACACATTCAGTTCTTCCGGAATAAATGACTTAAAAGGGTTATATATATATATATATATATATATATATATATATATATATATATATATATATATATATATATGTGTGTGTGTGTTAATAAAAGAGTAGTTCTTTTGCCAAGTATCACAATATTATACCTCCTAATTAATATTATGCTACTTGTTATTCTATTAATTCTCTATTTTAAATTGATTAAACCTTCTAATTAATGTGATTCTATTTGCTTAATATATATTGAAAATTAACTCCACATATTTATTTGAATTAATGATTATAATTTTACATAATTAATAAAAAAATATTTTAATTGATAACATATTTAAAATTTTATATAAAATAAATGATTAATAATTTTGAGTTTTTTACAAGTTTAATAATTTTGTATATATATATATATATATATATATATATATATATATATATATATATATATATATATATATATATATATATATATATATATATATATATATAGTCCTTAATATTCTTCTTGTTGCAAAATAAGTTATTGTTGTTTTTTACACATTCAATATTTATGATCGGTTTTCTTAAGTTTTTTCTCACGACATCCTATGTGGGACAATCATTAATGAGGTGTTCCAGGTTATTAATATTTATGGTCACTGCGACCTCAGTTCCTTGATTGTTTTTGTCTTGTGTTTCGCTTAGGTCTTGTGCTTTGAACGTTGTAACTTCTTCATACGATCTCATATTTTAATGATATTTATATCATGTGTTCATATTTAAGTATACTACAACTTTCTTTACTCCCATTAAAAAATAATATATTTTTACTTACAATCTTTATATACATGCATTCTTTATGAATGTATGTATGTATGTTTGTTTTTTTTTATAAAGTTGTAAGTAAAAATATGTCACTTTTTAACGACAATAATCTAAACGAAATCGTATGAAGAAGTTATGACTTGCAATGGTCATAAACATGAATAGTCTCGAACATCTGATTAATGATTGTCCTACGTACTATGTCATTTGAAAAAACTTAAGGAAACCGTTCATATGTATTGAATGTGTACAAAAACAACAATGACTTATTTTGTAATAAAAAAATATTAATGACTAAATGTGCAAAAAAAAAATATTAAGGATTAAATGTGAAAAAATATATTAAGAACTAAATATGTACAAACTGATAAATATATTACACTATTAAGTCATTTTTTCCGGCTTATCTAGAGTAGCCGGTTATAAGGACTGAATATGTATAGTTAAACAAGTTGAATGGGCAAATGTGGACGAAAAAAAACTCAGTGACCAAATATGTACAAAAAATATATATTTCCATTTTATGTCATTATCCCAACCTTTTACCATAAAATAACCTAAAAATTCAAAATAACTCTTATAGTCATAATTTTCACAAATGATCATCTACTAAAGATGACGTCATCTATAAAAATCTTTTTTTCTCAAAACGATGTCGTTTTTGGGGTGTTGAATGCGAAAATAAATGCAGCTATTGTTGTTGATCATGTGGAGCCTAGTTTACTTGCGAATGCTAACGTCCTCTGCATAAAAAAAATGTCTTATCTTGTCAGAATCCATACTACGAAAAATCCGTACGTTTTAGAGGATGTTACCTTATAAAAATGACTAATAGAATTTATCAAACCTATTGTTTCATCATTAGAGAAAAAATTCAATTCGTTTTTTTCTTTTGTTTTCCCTATCAGTTTTATCCACCTTACTCTTTCTTGCTCTTGTTTATATAACATGAGCTCAAATGATTCATATGGATATTTTATTGTTGTTTGTATTAACGTTTCATGTCATCTAAAGCCTTCTTTAATAGGAGAAGATGATACGAGAAAAGGGGAGATGGTGAAGTGTTCTGAAAGAGAGGAGATGAGACGAGAGAAAGCGATATGAAATAAAATAGTACGAAAGAATATGGAAGGTTTTATCTTGCTTTAAGGTGTCACGTTAGTGCCAAGTCGACCCATATGAGAAGTATCAACCGGTTGAAACCTACTCAAGTGGGTAAATAGTGAAAATTTTGGAAATTTAAGGGGTGTTTGGGATTGCCTTTTAACCTAAAAAAAATTGATGGGGCAAA